ATTGTTTGAGAAAAGTATCAGTATCATATTATTCTTTTGACATTTGACATTCTATTTTGGTTTTATTAAATAACACTTGACATTCTATTTTTATTATTGAAAATCTTGCTTGTGAATAGATTTTGGAAACTACCTCTATAGTTGTCTGGAATGAATAAAAAGAATTATCAAATATGAATTAGATATTGCTAATAAATATCTTGTAAATCATTGTTCAAATATTTGTCTCATTAGTTGACATAAATATGATAAATTTAAATCAAATATATTAGACAAATATTAAAATTTTATATTTAAAATTAATTAAAATTGATGTTTTTTGAACAGCACTTGTTTATTAATATAATTTTAATGTTATCTAATTTGCCAGATTAAGGAGTTTGTGAATATTATTCCTGAGATAACTTATAAATATTAATATTAAAAATTCAAAGCCATACTGCTGATATAAAGTAGGTCTGGTTATAATAATGAATAAATGTATTTGATTATTTTTACATTTGTGCTTACATAATAAGTCTGTTGTGATTTGAATTGCTAGATGATTGCTAAATAATAAACAACGGAATATCATTTTGAACTGTTTATTTAAAAGAATTACAAAATTTTCTCCTAGAATTGATCGTAATATGTCATGCAAGCAATACATTATCTAATTTGGTATATTTTTATTTATATAATTTTTACAATATAAACCAATAATGGATGTCTTAATAATTGATTATTTTTGTAATGCGATTAATGTATATGAATGCTGTTTTTAATATCATTTTTAATCATTAAATTCATTAAAAAAGATTTAAAATTAAGTTTATCATAATATTAGATTAATTTATTTATAAATTAAATCTATCAACATTTTTAACAAATTATTAAGTTTATGTGAGTTTAAATAATAATTATTTATTGATCTAATCATTATTGTACCTAGATTTTCATGTGTCCTCAACAATATTTTATTTTGGCCCCCTATTTTGGAAATAAAAACATACAATGAAAATGGTCAGTTCATTTTTAACCAAAAACATTATGGAATCAACTCCATTATGGTAATATTTAAAATTTAAAAATTAAATAAAAACAAGTCATGCCACTTACTAACAATAAATGAAAATATAAAAACTGTCTATAAGATATCAACTGAAAGAATTATGTACCCAGTTGGAGGTATCCATTTTTACAAAAATTTCTAGTACATATTTTCCATGTCCTGTGTCTCCATCTGGAAAGGACAAGAAGTTGGTGACAAATTACTTGAACAATTTAAATCTTAGACTTTTGGTCTCTGCAAAAATGACAATTTCCTATGTAGGGCTAATGACTTCCTACTGCAGTTGAGACCAATTTTGCAAAGAGAAGATCCAACTCTGGTGATTTTGAGAAAAGTAAAGAAGATTATCTCTATGCCAGGGGTAATGTGAGCATTATCTGGACCCCTGGATCCACCAGCCAGCATAGCGTGTCCCAGATTGTTTTTTAAATGTTCCCATCCAATCTATTTTTCAGAAAAGGATCTTGCTAAGAAAATTACTGTGCTAGTTCGTAACCCCATATCTTATTGTTTCTTCTGCTCTTGAGCAAAGTCTCTTATAACTAGTATTATTGGACTAATACTACAGATTTGTGTTGTTTTTACAAAATAGATGTGATTTCATTATACCCATCTGTTCCCCATTTTGAGATGGTCATGCTTACAAACACACTATTGATTGAGAATGGGTATTCCATACCACAAATACTGGGCTTAAGAGAGGCTCTTTTATTAGTTACTGAAAATAACTATTTCTGTTTCAATGGTAGTTTTTATTTGCAGAAACAGGGAGTGCCTGTGGCTTGCCTTTTTTGGCTATTTTAGCTGAGTTAGTAATGAGAGCCATAGAATTCAAAGTGTTTTGATTACCACTTTGTATACATTACCCTCATCTATATCTATTGTATGTGGTTGATGTGCTGCTAGCTTAGGATGGCTCAGAGGAATAGTTTCTACAATTTATACAATTCTTGTTGGCTGTTTTCCTGACCATCTCATTTACTAAAGAGGAAGAAATGATAAAAAGATTTCTTTCTTGGATTTATTTGTGTACAGATCTCCCATTGGACTTTTCTTTTCCATTTTTCACAAATTCATCAAATCACTCTTCTACTGCCTTCTAGCCTGCCAGGTACATAACTTCAGCCATTACAGCACTTATATGTAGGGCTATTTTGTACCTGTCCTCCCAGCTGTTTGTTGATGAAGAGCTCACCAACATTAAATTAGTAGTGTGCAGGGCTGGATATTCTCTCATCAAGTTTAATTATTTAGTCAATCAAGTAAAAAATGCATTATTTCTATGATCCATTTTATTTCGTAAGAAGGAACTGGTTTTTGTGTTATGAGCCATCCCGTACCTAGGCCCCCTTCTTTATATGTATATACCAAGTTTTTAGAACATTTTGGGTATATATTACCAATAGTTCTCCAGCCCACTTTGCAATGATAGGGATGGTGTTACACTTTGAAAAGTCTGGAGTTTACGCCATATCTTTACAAAATCCACTAACTGGGTCAAATTTGTTATATATAGGTGCCACTATCAGAATGCTTCTTGTCTGTCTAGCAGAACATCTTGAAGATATTACACGTAGGAGATATTCAACAGAGCTAGCCGGAAAAGTGGTGGAATATAACTTTGATTTTCTTTGGTCAGAAGTTTCACTATTGAAAATAGTGAAACTTAGGGATAGGAGAATCTTGTTCATTTGGGAGTCTTTGTTTATTATATCAATGTTCCCATGCAACTCTCCCACAGTCAATATTCCAGAGTTATCGGTTGTATTGTTCAACTTGTGAAAATTGCAGGTCACACAATTATGTAGCAAGAACATACTGGTGACAAGGAGGCTCCAGTGTTTACATTTTGTTTAAATTTTCTTTATATTATTATCAATTATTTCTGTGTATATTAATTTTGTTAACCATTGCCATTGTATGTTATTACATTTATTTTGTAATGGCATATAATTTTGTATTGTTAAATTTTTATGTTCCATTCTCATGCACAAAGAGCAATTTAAAAATGTATTCTGTCTCTAGATTTATAATGTTCCATCTGCTATATTACCTGAAGAGGTGGTTATATACTGTCAAAAGTGCTCGTACTTGTTAATTGAATGTATTTATCAGTAATGCCAATAAACAATTTTTATATTTTCATATATATTTAAAAATTAAAATATAATACTGATCATTCTTTTGATACTCCATTTCATTGGTCTCTTTGATCTATGGCCCTGTGCCTGTATACTTGTTGCACCTGCCTAGACTCAACACTGTATATGATTATCTTTTATTCATTTAATGCTATGTTTATTTTTTGTTAAATTTTCAAATGCACAAATGGAATTTAATAGATAATTCAGTCATTCATTTATTTATTCTGCTTACATTATCATATCTTAATTGTTCCAAATTTCAAAACCGTGTTGTGTCTTTATAGGCCTATTTATTTTTTAAAACCGCAATTTAGCATAATAACCAACACTTGGCACAACATTCATATTACTGTATTACTTTTTATAAGACTTAATAGAAGTTTGAGAAGTCTTCAAAGCCCAGTAAAGTTTAATTGCAAAAGTCTAGGCTTTGTACGTACCAAGTAGAATTAAATTTTCAGCCTGGTAATTGAAATGGTCCAATATATAGTGTATGATCCCTGCTTGTGGAAATATGCCAAAAGATGGAATCTGTGATTTTAAAAGATATGTCATGTGCTAATTGTATAATTCACAGTTTTTAAATTCATTTGTTGGGTTTTGATGTGTGTAAAAATTGATTTTATATATTTTTAATTGACTGAAGAGGGACGAAACAAAGCCCGAAACATGTGTATAAGCACGTATCAACAAAAACTGAAATAAATGAATGTTGTGCCAAGTGTTGGTTATTACACTAAATTGCAGTTTTTAAAAATAAATCTTAATTGTTATTATCACAGAAACAACTTAACAATATATATATTTTATCTTTTATTGATTTACATCATCAAAAACACAAATCAAAACTGGTCGTTTACAAATATTTTGAGTTTTAGTCTTGTTTTACATTTTATATTGTCAAAAGTACAAACAAACTTTGTATTTACGTATTAAGTTTGTCTGAACAATAACAGATCTTCATCAAGTGCAAAACTGCATTATAAAGTTTTTTCTTATTATTCCATTAAAAAATTAAGGAAAATAAATAAAAATTATTTAAATATAGATAAATGTATTATGTAAGTTTAATGATAATTGAATTATTTCAGTATTTTGCTTTTTCTTATGCAAGGCAATATATTAAAATAATCTATGTCAAATTAAATTCATGCTGATGATCTTAGAATCTAAAAATATAATTAAAACAACTGCTGCTAATTTGAGAAGAAAAAAAACTTAAATTCTTTTAATTTATTACAAATATTACCTTCAGATCATTGTTAATGTTGAAATTATAGATCTATAAACTTTCTCTATCTTATAGTATAGAAATTTTGTTGTTTGGTTATACTGTATACTAAATGTTTTGTCTGTTTAATATGTTTAAATATTTTTATTGTCTTATAAAATGAGATTCTTAATTTTTGGGAGGAATCAGTTTATTTTAGACAAGTTATAAATGCTTTTTAATAATAGTTAAATTTAAATATATATTTAATAATTTAATACGCATTTGCTCAAAGCATTAAAGAATGACTCCTTACATCATCCAGTCATAACAATAAACAGTCTTAAATATGGCATCTGTATTTTTTATAACTAAAGACATTTTTCAAACAATCCCAGTTCATAATAAAATAGAATAACATCTTTATTCTTTTATTAAAAAGCTAGCTGGTGATGAACTAGATGATTTTAAAGGTTTCTGGTAAACATAGATGTTTATCCTTTTTTATTAAGTCTGCTTCCTGTTATGATTTAAAGAATATTTGATATTTCATTAAAATTAGAACACTTCAAATTAATTTAATGTTTATTTTTAGGGAAACTGGAGTGATACAAAAGGAAGAAAACCAATATTACTAATCTGTGTTATAATAGCTGCTTTTAATTATTTTGTACTTGGGCTTACTTCTTATTTATGGATAGCCATATCAACTCGGATTCTGTTAGGTGAATTCATAATGATTTAAAGTATTTAAGTTAAAAATCAATAATTTAAAAAAATACTTTTGTGTCTAATAAAAAAACATTTTACAGGAATATTTAAACAGAGCCAAAGCCTTAGTAGAGCATATCTTGCGGATATAACTCCAGACAATCAAAAACCTAATGTTTTTGGTAAATTTAATGCCATATCAAGTTTGGGTTTTATAGTAGGACCAACTGTAGGAGGACATCTCTCTGAAGTACCTTATGGTTTTGAAATTGTATGTTCAGTTTCATCTTTATTATTCTTAATAAATTTTAGTAAGTATATTTAAAATTATGACAGTTTCTAGTAAAAATATTTTATTGTTTACTTTTGAACTAAAGTATTTTATATTATTCACTCTTTCAGTTTTAATTTGTATTTATTTACCAACTGTTCAGCCAGTTAAGGAAAATGAAGTTGAAAAGGAAGCCTTTCAAGCTATGAAACTAATTACTCAGATGAACTGGGAAAATTATTGGGATATATTTTTAGTAAAATTCTTTCTCAGTTTGGCAGTTTTGGTGTATCGAAACAATTTTACTATCACTTTAACAAAAACTCTTGGGCTTTCTTTAAAATCAATTGGATATGTTGTTTCTTTTTACAGTATCATAAGTTCCCTCTCTGGATTTCTGATTGGATACATTGCTAGATTTTATCTCCATCACTCATCATTGCTACAACATGTTGCAATTCTGCAAATGATTGCATTAACTGGGCTAACTTTTGCAAATACACTTCCTAGTTTAATTGCATTTTTGATTCCATTTGCAGTTAGTAACTCAATAGCAAGAGTTTGTGTAACTAGTCTGACTGTGCAGAGGTGTAGGAAGAATGAAAAAGGAAAAGTAGTGGGTGTTGGACAGAGTATTACTTCTGGTTCTCGAATGATTGCACCTGTCTTGGCAGGAATTGCACAACAAGTTACCATATTTGGACCGGGTGTTACAGGAATTTGCTGCTCTATTACTGGAATCTTTTTTATTGGAATTTTAAACAGGAATAACCAAAAAGTTTCCTATAAGAGTGACTGAATGTTATTTACAATTAAAAATATAGATTGCTATTTAATCTAATAATTGTTATTTTAAAATATGCAAGTTTAACTGGTGTAAGTTAAAATATTTTTGCCACAGTTTTCCCAGTATACCCAGTATGCCTTTAAATGAATTATCAAAACTGTAATAATATAAACAGAATTTAATACTATATGTAAATAAATGTATAGATATCCATATATATTTAATAAAATTTTTTTTTATCTCATTTAAAAGGTGTTTATCTTGAAAATTTTATTTTAATTAGCAATTAACAGCGTATAATCATATAAAATATTTAATACAATTAAAATTACAATTATAGAACTTTTTATTAAAATGTTAATTTTATTTCTTATAAAACAGTGCAATATTAAATAAGACAATGTATTATTTCATTATGATTTGAATTATTATAAAATGCTTAATTTTGGATTTAATCCATTCTAGAATGTGACGATGGCCATTTAAGCTAAAATTAAAACTTATGTTTGTAATAAATGTTGCTAGATTTAAAAACAATTTGTGTGTTTTCCATTATAACAGTGGTTTTCAACCAGTGTTGCAACACAGGTGTGTCACAGACAGTAATTGGAGGTGTTGCAAGGTTTTAAAATTTAAATATGAAGATTTTACAATTTTTTGTGTAAGAGATTAAGAAAAGAGAAGCTGAATATAGTTGGAAAAAATGTAAGTTTCTTATCAGCAATACCACTGAATATTAAGTACTGTACATCTGTACTCATACTAAGATCAAGTTTCCCCTTAGTCAATTTAAACTGCTTTATTTTACAGTTAAGCGTATGGTATCTATTGTTCCTGTGTTGTGAAACATGAGTAATATAAAAATACTGAAACATTTTAATGGAATACATTATTACAAAGATATTGTTAATACATAATAAAAATAAGTTTATCATGTTTTCCTTGTGCATTACCATTCATTTTCAGTATTTGCATAAGGAGTGTACCCTTCATTTAAAGCATGCCAGTTAGGATGATGAAGTTGTGAATAGGTTGAAAACATTGCATTATAATGTTAAAATATTGATTGTATGCTTGAATTAATGCCAAAACTAGACTAACTAAAAATTAAGACATCAGGAAAAGAAATTTATTACTGGTAATCAGTAACTACTAATAATTTATGTACTAACATTTATGTATCTGTTTTTATTTGATTACTAAAATAAATATAATAAAAAATATTAGAAACAAATTCAATAATAATGCATTATATCAAATAAAACTTTTATTTAAATCAGGAAAAACATTTTCTTTTATTTGTTTTATAAAACTTCATAAGATAATGGAATATAAATTTAGTATACAAGGTGAGTCAAAATTACGTACATGCACCCTTTTCATTCCAAAATGATTTTCAAAGTCAACAATAAGGTCTCATCCAATCAAGCATATGTGATTTCCTATTTAACTACTTAATATAACTCCAGTACTTTTGGAATGAAAAGGTTTCAACTGACATTCCACTCATCCTGTATTAGCTGGATGATGGTAATTGTTAAAAATATTAAGAGCAGAATAAAAATTAATTTTCCTAATCTGAATGAAATAGAGATGAATATAAGAGAATAAGCTATTTGGAAATATATCATACCTCTAAGTGGTTTACTTTTTATATATTTATTGCTACAAATTGAGATGAAACTTGTCAAACTAGAGTAGAGCAAACAAAGTTTTTAAAGTTATCTCAAATATCCTTAAAAATTTATGAAATTATAAGGTTCATTTATCTGATTGAGACATACTCTAAATGATTGAAAATTATAAGAATAAGAGTGCTAGAGTTTAACAATCAATCAACACAATTGAATCAAACATTATAAATTTATGGAAAAAACAGACTATATTCTAAAACAGAAGAATCATTTGAAGCAACTATACAGTATTCCTTTGTAATTCATATAGGCTATACTGTATTGATAAAACATTTTAAGAATGCATTTATGTTTAACTGTAATAATCGTTATAAAGTTCATTTTTGATAGAAATTGTATAAGAAAGAGATATAAATTACTAAGGAATACCAAAAATTGAAAAAATGGCATTTAATTATTTATTTGATAAAAGTCATGTATTTAGTTCAAAAATAATAATAGATTCGTTATGAACCGCAGTATAATGGGGTTTTAAATTCCAAGCATAACTTACCATGTTGTAGAATGTGAAAGGTCTACTTGGAAAATCGTATCATGAGATTAATTTCTGTTTGAAATTTAATTTCAAAGATAAAATTAATCATCACAACATCCGAATTGACTAGCTACAAAATGCTAATTCATAATGATCAAACGAAGCATATTTAATTAAGGTAATACAATAATAGAACTGCGTTATCGTTACAAGCGAGCAGTAATTAATATCTGAATAAAAGTACAGATAGATCTGGGTACTGTGCCATTCCGAAAAAGCGCGAATTCGAACGGATCTTCACTAAATATTAAATGGAAAACCCTTCAGTATCTGTAAATATAGTTTTTTGCATTGCAAACGTTATTAACAAAGCACGCAATCTTGTATATCTACCATTGTTTTACATGGGCTACTTGTATCATTACTATGTATATTTCGTATTGTTTGAATTTCAGTTTAGCGTCAAACTCAATTCAGTATCAATTAAGGCTGGCGCTAAATCGAAGTTTGGCTATGTTTATTAATTAATCCGTAAGATAATATAAGATCCGAAATTGATCATATGACTCATTTCTTACGTCACGCCGAAGTGCCCATTAACGCCCGGCTTTTTACATTTCAGTATCTGGTCATTTTACTAATAACTTTCTCACTGAAAAAATTACTTAGATTATTCTGAAACAAATTTTCAAAAATTCTAGAGAAAAACCCGAGACAAATAAACAGAAATGCCCAAAAAATTATTTTAAATCGATTTACAGAATGCATCCAGGGAATGTCCATGAATGACGTCCACCCTTCCAGTGTGGACGTCATTTATAGACAGCCCTTTACTGGTAGTTTGATTTCAGTTTCAGCTGTTAGATACAGTCGAACCCCACTTCTAAACAGTGCACATGTTTCCGGGAACACGGGCACTGTCTAGAAGTGGCCTTAAAGGGAAGGTTTTGAAGGGGTAGACTTTTGTTAGACGTCAGAAGAGGAACAGTTTCAATGTTTCCAGGAACAGTCTCTATGTTTCTGGAAACATGGACAACATTTAAAAAGAAATTTGTTCCATTTTTTCTTTTTAACAAAAATACATACAAAATAACTTTAGAACAACGAACATATTTTTATGTTCCTGTCAGTGGCCATTGTTTATAGTTTTACAGTATTAAGATTACGGCTCTTGCTTTTTTGAAAGACGATAGCATAAGTTAATAAATGAGACTCTTGGGATGCAATTTCGAAAAATTCTAGATCTATAAATTCCCATTGTCGTTTGCCTGTTTGTCCTTCCTTAATAAATTAATCTCGAGAACGGTGTTAAATAAATGAAAACCGAGACCAGATACGGAAATCTTAGGGGCAGGAGGCCCTTGATTAACTATATATGACCTTCCGATGCAAACCGGAAGTGACGTTATTTTAATTAAAAAATTTTTTCCTGAAAGGAGTTAGATAGATGACAGGCATAGTTATTTCTAATAGAAGTATTATGTACTGTACAGTACAGTACAGTACAAGGACAAGACATTACTAATTTGAGGTATTTTGAGCATATATCTTAAATTAAATAAATTTAAAATATGAATTAAAATGTAAATTTCTGTCTTATTCGAATATTTTTTTACTTATAAAAAAATATTCGAAACAAAAAAGTTGCTAAACTTCTTGCAAAAAACAGTTAACTGACTTTTCGGACCACCCCCGTAAAATTCTAGAGAGGCATATTATATAAATAAATAATAATTTAATGAAAACAACTGATAGAATAAGTAAGTGTAAATATTTTTCCATACACATTCAATAGAAGATCGATAAATCTAGAAAAAAATTTCTAATTTAATTTAATTTAGTTTAAATCAAATTAGTTTCTTAACTCGTCTGAGATATTTTATTTATTAAAGATTCATGTCACTTTATTAATATACAAATGACATAAATATAAAATTAATTATTTAAAATTGAGAAATGAGTTAAGTTACGAGTGGTGACAAGTGCTTTACTTTCAATTCCCTAAACGCATATAATATTGACACGTTATTTATTATATGAGATGAGATGCAAAGTTTAATAATAAAATGTAAATGTTAAAATGTATAACAATTAATTAAATTGAAAATAATATTGCATGCATAGAATTAAATTACAGTCTGCTCTATACAGTGTTAGAAAGGCTATTCAGTTATATTGTGAATATACTAAAAATACAGTAATTGAGTTGAGAAAAAATTCTAGAATAATAATATAAAATTCCCTTCGTGTTTTATATTTAGAATATAAAATTTTTCATTAAGTCCGACCCCACTCGAGATACTACACGACCTCTCTATCTCGCACCTCCTTGACCTTTAACCACCAATATATAATATCAATGCCCCAACCATAGAAATAACCCATTCCAACTTTCAAAATTTTTAGTTCATCCAGTCCTGGGATATAATGCAAAATAGATGCTAACACGCACACACTCATTAATTCATAGATGAACTCGACCATAATTGGGACCTCGCCTTTTAGAGAGCCTTATTTCTACTATGTTTGTTAACCTATATCCATGTTTGTACAGTATAACACCTCTGAAGAATATAGGCCAAAGGTTTCATAACCAGCGCCGTAACTAGCCTTTTATGCGCCCGGTACGAGCTTCTGTTACTACGCCGCAAAACTATGACCCAAAACTTGGTCCAGGTCATTTCTGCGCCTTGTGTCTGGGCACCGCTGGCACTGCTCTTGTTACGGCACTGTTCATAACTGCTTAAAACAATTTTACTTTTACATTTGACCGAAGGGTTGGCACCTCTTCAATGCCCCTGTCAGGATGACACCACCGCGTCTCGTCGGACACGGAAACCGTTTCGTTCGGGCGTGTGAGCAGTCGCGTGTGTGAGCGAACGGATTCGGGATGGAGGGAGAGACAGCGTGCCGGAAGTGACTTATTCAGAGACGATGAAACGTAACAACTGTTTAATTGGTAACTATAGGCCATACAGGATATAAAATATATCGATTTTAAATATGCTAGCTGTTAGAGATCTTTGCTACAATTGATATTA